GCCCCCTTATGGCTGCTAGTTCTTCCCAAAACTCTTCCCTTTCCCTATATGAATTTGGACCATAGACATTAGTTAAAGCCCATTCTAACCCATCCTCTTTCCTCCTAAACTTCATTGTGATCGTAAAGTTGCCAAGCAATTCTTCAATGTCGTCCATCTCCTCATTCTTCCAGATTGTTAGGATGCCTCCTGAGGCTCCCCACGATAGTGAAAAAGCCCAAGTTAAGCCTCTTGCTGACCACAAACTTCTCACCCATCTTCTATCCAGCTCTTCCAACTTTGTTTCTTGAATTAGTACAATATCCGGCTTCTCTTTCCTAAAAACTTCCTTAATCACCCTTCTTTTTCTTTGACTCCCCAACCCCCTAACATTCCAACTGATTATCTTCATGGGAAAAATCAGATGTTGAGACCCTGAGGTTTTTCTTAACCTAAACCATTTTCCTTTCCTTTCTGCTTGTACCTCCTTTTTCATAATCAACTCCACATCTCAGCCTCTCCACCTCACTCATCTTGTTCTTTCTTATTTTTTATGACTCTAACTCCTTATTTAAAGAATTGATTCTTTTCCTTTCTCCTGCCTCTCTCTTCTGTTGTTTTTTCCTGGTTTTTTTTCCTTTTGTGTTTTTAACTCTCAACCCACTCTTTTTTTCTTCCTTTTCCTTCTCCAAACACACCAGATCTGGACTGCTACCTTCCTCCTCCAAACTCACTCTAGACTGTATTTCTACCTGAACCAACTGATCAAAGAACTGCATTATTAGCTCCCATATTCTCTCCCCTTTCTCCTTAGAATCATCTACAACCTCAATATCTCCTGACACTTCTGTTGCCTCCAACGACACACTAGGATTGGCAACTGCTGGACAAGAATAGGTCTCACATGCAAGCTGGACAACAACCACAGAAGGAGGGTGAGGAGGATTAGCTGAAACACAAATAGAATTATCTAAAAATTGACAAACCATACCAGAACCCAGAAACAGAGTAGGACTGTCATGCAAAGGAGGCTGACACTAAACAAGGCCGATGTTGGGCGAGTTCTCCTCCAATCTAACCCTCAAACCACTAGCAGGGGAAGGGGAGCCATCTACGGGTTTGCTTTCCGAGTGAGGAGAAGCTGTAAAATCTCTACGATCACCCTACTTTTGACTCTCAAAATGGGAAAGATCTTTTTTGCCTTTGAATGAGGTGTTTTCTCTTCTCAAGGGAGAACCTTTCAAACCGCTGCTCTTCTGAGGTTCCAAAGAAAGTTTGGTTGGGGTCAGCAAAGAGTTTTCGAAGAGCAATCTTGTTCCTAAATCTGCATCCTCCAAAAGAGCTTTCCGTGGACTGCTTTTAACGTTGCCGATACTAGACGTAGGACTCTTCATCTGATTTCTCCTCTTCACAGCTTACCCAATCCGAGTCAAAATCACCATCTTCCTCTTTGTTTCTATCATACCATGGATTTTGTCATTCAAGGGTGGTTGAGTAGCAAACCAACCTTGGCCTCCATGCAAACTTCTCCACAGTAGAGCCTCTCGGTTGAGAAAGAATCGAAACCGGTTGGATGGGGGATGATGATACACCCAAGATATTGTCCCCTTCTTTTTGTCTTTTTCTAAAGTCATATGATGACTTAAAGTGGCACGTGACCTCCTCTCTAATCTGCCTGGCCCAATCAGTGATTTAAAAGGCGCACCTAGGCACTTAGGCAAAGCGCGTTTTAGGGTAGGTGCCTCACCCAGGTCCTAGGGGCAGCCCATTCAAAAGGCACACGCCTAGTGCACCTTGCGCCTTGTGCCTTAGCCCAGGCGTGAAATCTAAGAATTTAAGACCCTAACATGGACTTGTTTGGGCTTGCCTCGGGGGGTGTGGCACAAAGGCGGCTCATAGAATTAGGAATGTAATAGGTCACATTAGCTACTTGATGCAATTGAGAAAAAAAAGAGATTGTTGGTTTTATATGCTTGAAAATGTTTTATATGTTTGATTTCATTTTTAAATTCTCATTTGAATATGCTTTACATATTATATTTATGTATTTTAATTTTAGATAATAGGTTTTTTAAAACATTTATTTTAAAACCTAAGTTTATATTTTTATTAATATTATGTTTTATAATTTTTTGCTCTTTTTTGAATTTTTTTGAACTTTTAGCTTTTTTTTTAGTTGTGTGCCTTGCCTCAAAAAGGCGCGTGCCTCGAGCACAAAATGGCCCTTGCGCCTTGCGCTTTTAAAACACTGGGCCCAATGCTACTTGCCCCACCTAGCCCATTAACACTTATTCCACCTGGCCCATTACCACTTATCCCACCTTGCGAACCCAACAACTTGTCCTGCTTTGTAAGCTCATTTATTACTTAATCTAAAGTCAGTTTAAGTTTACCCTCTCCTTGGACTTTCAAATTGGCCCTTCTCTTTGTTCAACCCCCTTGTCAGTCCCACCAATCCAAGAGCCTTGACAGTCTGGTTTTGCATTTAATGCACTTGTCACAACCTCTGCAAAGGTTCTTTTAAACTCTGAAGCTTTTCCTTTGCTTGCACTCTTTCCATTTTCCTCTTCGGGTAATCCTTTCTTGTTGTTTCTCCTTAAGCTTTCCAATTCTGTGATAGTTTCAGCTAATTTGAAATGCACCAATCTCTATGATCCACGTAGGTAGTCTTCTTCTACCTCCTCATCTTCCTTCCTCCTGGACTCCTTCCACAAAGCTGCTTTATTAGAGATCAATAGCCACACCGAATAGAAAGCACTCGGCATAAACCTCAATCTTCTTGGGAATTTCTTCAGGCTTTACTCCGCTTGCTCTCATGGCTGTTGATCGAAAATCTTTTAGAAACACACCTTCCAGTTTAGCTTTGCACAAGGAGGCAATGGATTGAAATAATTCTAGCTTCCACAAATGGAAGGGTAGGCCAGCAAGCCTTATGGTTACCCCATCCTCCACTGAGAAGTCCATCACGTTAGAACTAGGAGACTACCTCATCACTGTGGCTGCTCCAGTCTGCAACTGGAAGTTTGAAGCACTAACTACTGAGACATCCTCCAACAGATCTAAAAGTGCTTTACAGTCTTCATAAGGGGTGACAATTACTGGACCTTTTACCTTCAGGTTCTTGAGTAAATCTGCTACTACTATCCTCCAATCTTCTGGTTTCTTTTTAACTTCAACCACCAACTTCTTTTCCCATTCTATCTTCTCTGTATTGAAAACCATCTTGTCTCTTCCCAATCCATTGACCAGAATGTTCCCAGAAATTGCTTCCTTCTCACTTAGGGATCCTCTTATTTCTCCAGTAATCTGAACACCCTCGGTACCTTCCTTCATCTCTTTCATGAAGTCCTGTAGAATGTTTTTTATCTCCCTCCAAACCATGTTGTTTCTACCTTCAGGAATGCAGATGAGTTGTTTCTTTCCTTCTCCAAAAAAAACTCAATCAAAGCAACGAATCTACCTTCTGTATTCCATCTTCTTTCTACTACCTTTGATCTTGTTGTTCTCTAGAGCTCTTCCAGTCTGTAAGTTTGCCTGACTGTAGTGCTCCTTCCATGAACAGTTTGAGCCACTCAACCACCTCAATACCTACCAGCATAACCATGGCTTTCCTCACTTCTCTGATCTTCAACGTTACATTCCCTTTTACTTTGAACCTCTCAAAGAAAAAGATTTTAGCTTCAGCCTTCAGAAATCTTCTCCAGGTTGCTTTCTGCATAAACTCCATCTTATTCCAGTCTTCAGCTTTCACGAACTCCTTACTTTGGTGGACTCATAATTAAAGAACATTGCCTTTCCAGTTTCATTTGTCCTCTCTCTGTATTTTGTTAATAGTTCAACATCACTGTTGGCAAATGGTTGCAAATCTGTACAGTCAAACAGAAATCTCTTTCACATTCCATAGATATTACCATGGTTTTCAAAACCAGACCGGACCGGACGGACGGACCAGAAAAACCAAGAACCGGTCCGGCTCCATTTTACCCCAGAACCATTATTTCACCAAAAACCGTTGATTTGGTCAGCAAACCGCTGACCCAGGCGGTCGAACCGTTCGAACCATCCAACAGTTTTGGCCGTTTTTTATTTTTTCTATTTTTGGTCAGAACGGGTTGTCCATTCGGTTTGAACGGTCGGACCGTTCAACCCGGGAACCGGACCCCTGACCGGTTCGTTGTCCGGTTCGGTTTTAAAAACCTTGGATATTACCACAAGCAATGATTAAAATATGGGATACTCAGGTATCAGTGCATATCAATATAGCCAACTCATCTTTTTTATTTTTTTTCTTTTTCTTTTTTATTTTATAATAATGAGGGGGGGTTGGGTAAAAGGGCTGAAATGGTTTAAAAGTTTTAAAAAAATGCATGGGTTTATCCAAATGTATCTAGGTACACCGATACCGATACAATACGCCCTATATGGGTGTATCATATCAATATTTTTATCCTTGACCACAAGTATGGAGCTATTAGATAATTTACATTTTATATTATTGATAAAAGCTCTGTTTAGATGGAATAAATTCTGATTTATATGCCTTCATTAATTAAATTGGGCATATAAAAATGATATAGATCAAAACAACAAAATCTTGCAAATGCAATCTAAATAAAAAGTGAACTCATAAATGGAATCGAACAACATTTGCACAGATCAACTTCAAGCTATATAAAAAGAGAAAAACAGAAAACAGTACATACATGAAAGGGCGAACTCAATTTTGATCAATCACACATCTACCACAGTATGCACATACAAAAGAAAAGAAGAGATAAAACCCAAAAAAGACAGAAATAAGAAGGGGAGAACCCAGATCAAAGAAAAGAGGTTTCTTATGGGTCTTTTTTATAGATTACCAAACTAAAACAGATCAACAGACCCAAGTTGCATGTCGGAGGCCAACCATGGCAGCCACAATGGTGATAACATCATTCCATTCAGTTATAGAGCTCTAAGAACGGGAAAAAAAAAAACATGGAACATGCTGAAAAACCTGACAACCCATATCTAATACTTACCTTGACTGAAAAATGGCAGAAACAAGCAGTTGATAGTTGACCCTTTGTGGTTTGTGCAGCAGACAAGCTTGCTTTCTGACAGGTCGTGAATTATTTTTTCTCATCTTTCCTTTCTCAGTAAGATTGCAAGGAAAAACTTTGGTTGTTTGGAAGCTACAAGCACATGACACCCACTGAAGTCCTTATTAGTCTTTCTTGGCTAAAGGAATATTGATTGTAAATATTCCTTGTTAGAATACTCCAACATATGACACAAATCATACTGGAACTAGTTGGAAAAGTATTTTGTTGTGAGCAGATCCCAGCTCATTAAACTCGTCAACAGCCAAGTAAGCATCTGTCCCTGCATTTTATAAATTTTGCAAAGAATAGAGAAGAATCAGTTAAGAGAAAAAGCAAAAAACAACACACAAAAAAAAAAAAACAAAATACTGCTTAAGGCCATGAACAGAGTATTAAAATGAGAATTTTGAAAGAAATGTGGCCTTAAAATAGCTGAATTGACTGAAATGTATAACTTGTTGCATTATCTTTTAGTGGCTAAAACAGTTTAAGGATATAAAGTAATCAAGCCTTACAACCCACTTAATGACTTGCCTTCCAAAACAGACAAAGCAATAACTTCCTTCACTTCAGCCACTTTAGCTGTTAATTATCAAATAGCCCCCAAGACTAACACTCATCTGAAATGCAATCTCCAACATTTTATCTAAAATTGCAATTTCAAATGTTAGGGTGGGCAGAGGAATTTACCAGCCTGCGATACTTGAGCATAAAATATCTCAGGTCTCCCAGCGCTCAAACAGGTTCAGGAATGGGAAGGGCAATTTTCACAGGTACCCTACCCGTTGCCATTCCTAATCACCCTCCTTTGGAGTGTTCTATCAAACTCCCCATTTACTATTTTTTGAGAGATGGTTTAAATGAAGAGAAAAATGCTTATTTAGTGGCATGGACGAAGGTATGTAAACCCAAAAGAGAAGGTGGAATTGGCATCCATTCCCTAGGCAAATTAAATAAACCTCTCCTAGCTAAATGGCTATGGAGATATGGCGAAGAAAAGAACAGCATATGGAGAAAACTCATTGGAGATATACAAGGGAGTTTTCCAATGAATAGGGATCCTGCCCCTGTTAGAACCTCCTATCACTCAAGCTTATGGAAAGGAATCGTGAAAGGAAGTGACATTTTCTCCAAATTTATCCATTTTGATCCAAGGAAGGGGGACTTTTTTTTTGAAAGTTCTGTTGGTGTGGTGAGAGGATCCATTTTCAACTTAGCAGAAAATGAAGATGCAACCATTTTGGATTGTAATGAATTTAGTGGTGGCACAATAGTCTGGACCATCTCTCAGAAATATCTTTGACTGGGAAGCAGAGAGGTTGTTGAGGCTTTTGGGGAAGTTAAATCAATCCAGAATTAACCCTGTTAACAGAGATAAAAGGGTTTGAACCATTTCTAAATCAGGACCAAATCAAAGCAAACACCCCTCAAACATTGCTCCCTTGCATCCATGTCGAGCCAAAAGTTGCATTTCTTTCCCCATGAACAAGACCCTGAAGATGTAAATTTGAAACAGAACATCTCACCATCTCCATTCTCCATCTCCCTGTTTCTGTTGCTTGTGGTAGACATCATACCACTAATACTGTCTATCAGAAACACTATTGCTAGGTCTCTTTTCTGCTTCCTTGGGATGAACCAGTTCCTCTATGACTGTATATGGAGATGAGGTCATTTTTGGTGGCTTCACGCAGATCTTAGGAGCTGACATAATAGATCCTGGAGTAGGAGAAATTGCATGAATAAATTTCTGAGAAGAAGGTACATGCACACAAAAGTTATAATATGCCTAGAAGCTAAATCCAAATGCCGTAAACAAAGAAAACTTTGGGCAGGTTAGCAGCAAGTTTTCTCTACAAGCAGAACAGTTTCACTTATTTTAGAGTTTAAAACAAATGCACAGTTGAAATATATGCTTGATGGATTACACAGTGCTATCAATTTGAGCAACAGAAAATTTTACTGAGAAGCAAAGGGCATCATAGAGATTCCACAACATTGTTACCAGATTTTTTTGGATAAGAACTAAACCTGTTTATCCTTATTTCCTACAGAAGCAAGACCCAAGAAGCAGGTCACATGTGGGACCTTACTATTAGACTATGGTTCTTGTACATAACATACACCCTATGTGCCTGATATCAGTGATGTAAAAGGCATGCCTAGGCATTCAGGCGAAGCACATACCTTAAAATGCGCCTCGCCTAGGTCTTAGGTGCAGCACTTTCAAAAGACGCACGCCTGGTGCACCTTGCACTTCAGCCCAGGCATGTGCCTTTTCTAATTTTTTTGAACCTTATGGCTGGGCTGGGGCCTCTGCCACCGGGCCCGACCAAGCCCCTCAAGGCAAGCCCAAACAAGTCCATGTTAGGGTCTTAAATTAATCCTTACACAAAAATAAATGACTTTATAATGTTAATTGGATGAATGAATGAACAACATTAGCAAATAAGGGGTTCTTGGAGCTCCAGTGGGCTTGGTACAAAGACAGCTCATAGAATCAAGAATGCAAATCACACTAGCTATTTTAACTAATGCAATTGAGGAAAAAATAAATTGTGGGTTTTACATGCTTGAAAATGTTTATATGTTTAATTATTTTTAAATTTTCATTTGAATACACTTTACATGTTATGTTTTGTATTTTAATTTTAGATAATAGGTTTTTTAAATATTTTTTTTTTGGCATTTTTTGAAGTTTTTGGCCACTTTTTGTATTTTTGCGCCTAACTTCGAAAAGGCACGTGCCTCGCCTTGCACTTTTAAAACACTGCCTGGTATTTGATAGCTAATTAGCTACAGACAAGATAACCATCACAATCAGAAAGAAAGCCTACATTATATCTATATATAAAATAGCATTTGGTAGCTATTCAGCATTACATGTACTGCAGAGGAGAGCTACAAAAAGAAGGGCAAAGCAAGAAAATGTGGTTATAATTCACTTCAGAAAAGTCAAACAAAATAAAGGATATGAAAACGATATCATGTTATAAAAGATAGTAGATTCATAAAAGATTTGCAATATGTTTCTGTTAGAGTTGGTCGAGTAGGGTAACTTAGTCTTTTCATTATAGTTTAAGTAGTGTAGTGATGTGGCAATTCTGTTTTGTTTTTTATTTTTCTTGTCCCATACTTAAGTAGGGGTATATTTGACTTTGTACCCTTATTTTAATATAATAGAGATTATGGTCGACTAGGAGGGTTAAGACTCTCTAGTTCAACAGCTTCCTTCTTCTTCTTCTTCTTCTTCTTCTTCTTCTTTCTCTTTGAACAGGACTTATCTGAACCACTAAAACATGATATCAGAGCCCTAAATAAAAGAGAGGAAGGCTGCAATCTCAAGTTCCTGGACCTGCGATCTCTTCTCTTCTTCTTTTCTCCTTTTCTCTGAGGTGTGATCTCAGTTACATGGGTAGAAGGCTGCGGCACACCCAGTAGAAGGCTGCAGCAACCCTTTTTTGGTGATCCAGGACTGCCACAATCCCCATTACAGGTGTTGGGAAGGTGCGGCAGCCCTAGGTGAGTAGTTCTCAGATTGCTGTCACCATGAGTGACAGCCCTAGTGGTTGTGTGGTGGTGTTTGTTATGTTACAGACCCTCTACTGAGCAGTTTCAAGAGAGGTTTTTTCTTCGTTTCTGTTTGAATGGTGATGTGAGAAATAGTGTGGTTAACAGTAGTGGTGTGAGAAATCAGGTTTTTTTTATGAAGGAGATGGCCGAATGTGTCTGAATGGTGATATAAGTTAGTGCTTTTTTATAGTGGCTGGTTGAGAAAGTGCCATAAGGTGATGTACAGATTGCAGCAGTGTTTATTGAATAGCAGAAATCCTTTTTGTTGGTTGATAATTCAGAACTAGGAGAAATCTAGTGTATTGAGAACATAATGGCAGCAACCGGAGATGGAGGTGGTGATCAAAAATCTAATGTGGTGATCCCCTCTGACTATTTAGGTATGCAGATGACATCAATTAAACTTAATGGTGAAAATTATGTGCCATGGGCCAAGTCGGTGGAGGTTTTTCTCAAGGCCAAGAGGAAGGTGAAACATGTGAAGGAGGATAAACCATCAGTTGGCTCTCCAAGGTTTGATGATTGGGAACAAGAAGATGCCCAAATCATGACATGGCTATGGAACCCAAGATAAGTGTAAACTTTATGTTCTTAGATACAGCCAAGGAAATATGGGAACATGCCAAAAGGCTCTATTCAGGACAGGATAATACTACGAGAGTGTATCAGCTCTATTAGGAGTATTTTAATTTGCAACAAGGAAATCAAACCCTTGAAGAGTATTATGCCAGTATGAGGAACCTCAGAAATGAACTCAGTGTCTATCATCCCCTAACTTCAAATGTTAAAATTCAGCAACAACAAAGAGAGCAACTTGATGTAACCAGGTTCTTAGTGGGGCTGAAATCAAAATACAAAGCAGTTAGAGCACAAATATTGGGAGGTTCTGCTCTTCCTACACTTGAGGAGGTCTTTGCTCGGTCTCGTAGGATTTCCTTGGGACCCACAAAGAGTATCACAACGTCTAATAGATCAATGTTTGTTGTAGCGAGAGTAGGTGGACATGGCAATAGAGGGGGAGGACATACATTTCGACGAGGCTGTGGTAGTCCCATGTTTGGTCGTGGTGTGGTGGAGATCGTGACTTAGGGGGAGGCCATGGTAGAGGAAGAGGGCACACTACTAGAAAGTGTACACATTGTGGCAAAGATGGACATACGATTAATTTCTGTTATGATCTACATGGGCTAATCATGCAATTGTTGGTGGTGGTGATGTGAGTGATAACCAACAAACAAATCAAACACCTTCCACATCTACATCTGCTTCTGGGAAGGAAATGATGAGTGTACCACGAGATGAGTATGAAAGGTTCCTTCAGGCCACTTCACAACATAACACTGATACTCTTGCACACTCAGGTATGGCCTATCTGGCATCCAAACCTTTTCACTGGATGATTGATTCTGGAGCCTCTAATCACATGACCAAGACTCCAGGTGTGCTTCTTCCCTTTCTAAAACTTCCACATCACAAACTTTTACCCTGGCCAATGGATCTTCTTCCCCCATTTACGATGTTGGTGATGTTGACATTGTATCGCTTTCTTTATCATCTATTCTATATGTGCCTAAATTTCCATTCAACCTCATGTTTGTTAGTAAATTAACTACGGCCCTTAATTGCTCTATCACTTTTTACCCTTTATCTTGTGTTTTTTAGGATCTCAAGACAGGGAAGAAGATTGGTGGAGGGCGTGAAGCCAGTGGATTGTATTCTCTTGGCGGTGGTGGATCTTCAGTTGCACTTCAAACTTCCCTGACTCCTCTTCAATGGCATTGTCGGTTGGGACATCCATCTCTCAAGGCTCTCTAGCTACTAGTTCCTTCTTTGAGTCATTTGTCTTCTTTGTAGTGTGAATCGTGTCAGTATGGGAAACACCATCGGGTTTCCTTCAGTCCTAGGGTTGATAGTCGTATGTTGAGTCATTTTGCTTTAATCCAGATGTTTTGGGTCCAATTAAAGTTGAGCCCTATAATGGTTACAAGTATTTTGTCATTTTAATTGATGATTGCTCAACGATGACATGGATTTATTTAATGAAAGAAATGAGTGAATTGTTTTCTATTTTTCAAAAATTCCATGCTGAAATACGTACACAATTTGGTGTTCCAATAAAAGTTCCTTGTTCTGATAATGGTTGTGAATACTTTCTTACTTCCTTCCAACAATATTTAGAACAACATCGCATCATTCATCAGACTTCGTGTGGATCCACCCCTCAACAAAATGGGGTGGCTGAACGAAAGAACCGTCATCTTCTTGAGGTTGCTCAGTCTATCCTTCATCATATGAACATTCCTCAACATTTTTGGAGTGACACGGTACTTACGGCTTGTTTTCTCATTAATCGGATGTCCTCCTTCATTTTTCATGGTCGATCTCCCTTTTCTATTTTGTTTCCCACTTTGTCTCCCTTTCCATTAACCCCCCGGGTCTTTGGGTGTGTGTGCTTTGTTCACAATCTGGGCCCTAATTTAGACAAGTTGGATGCATGCTCTATTAAGTGTATCTTTCTTGGCTATTCTCAGACCTAGAAAGAATATAAGTGTTACAATCCTATCACTCGAAAGTCATTTGCTGCCCTGATGTCACCTTTCCACTTCACATCGCCAATTTATTTCTTTGTTGTCCTCTATATGTATACCCAAGGATGTTCAGGAGGCTCTTACTTCACCGGGGTGGCATCAAGCAATGGAAGAGGAACTCTCTGCTCTTCAACACAATCACACGTGGGATCTCACCACTCTTCCTCCTTGTAAGCATGTTGTAGGTTGTAAATGGGTGTATAATGTTAAATATTTACCAGATTGCAGTGTGGAACAATTAAAGGCCTGATTGGTTGCTAAAGGTTATTCTCAATTATGTGTTGGATTATATGGAAACCTTCTCCCCTGTGGCTAAGATTGGTTCAATTCGTGTCTTGATTTCTTTGGAAGTTATGTATTATTGGCCTTTGTTTCATCTTGACATTGAAAATGTCTTCTTCCATGGTGACCTTTTGGAAGAGGTCTATATGGAACAAACACCAAGGTTTGTTGCTCAGGGGGAGGATGGTAAAGTGTGTAGGCTCAAGAAGGTAATTTATGGGTTGAAACAGTCTCATCGTGCTTGGCTTGGGAAATTTAGTGAAGTGAAAAATTTTGGAATGAAACAATATCAGGTCAACCACTTAGTGTTCAGCTACAATTCTGAAGCCGGAAAGATTTTATTAGTGGTTTATGTGGATGATATAGTCATAACTGGTAGTGAAAAAATTAGGAATTGATAAACTAAAGGCCTTTCTACAAGAACATTTCCAAACAGAAGATCTTGGGAAGTTGAAGTACTTCTTGGGTATAGGAGTTTCCAAGTCAAAACAAGGTATAAAATTGTGCCAAAGAAAATATGTTCTTGATCTGTTGGAAGAAACGGGATTATTAGGTGTGAAACCAGCTAAAACACCCATAGCATAGAACCAAATGTTAAGTTGAGCAGTAATGCAGGTGAAATGTTTGATGATCCTGGAAGATATAGAGAGTTAGTGGGGAAGCTGAACTACCTAACCATTACCAAACCAAACATCTCCTTTACTGTTAGTGTGGTGAGCCAATTTATGCAAAACCACCGAGTACCTCACTAGGATGCAGTTCTTAGAATTGTACGGTACTTGAAGGGAACTCCAAGTTGGGGGTTATTGTACAAACCAGGGGGAAGACTTGAGATAGTTGAGTATACAAATGCAGATTGAGTAAGCTCAGTGTCTGACAAGAGATCTACTACACATTATTGCACGTTTATTGGAAGAAATCTAGTGACATGGAAGAGTAAGAAGCAAACTGTTGTGGCAAGGAGTAATGTTGAAACTGAATACAGGGCCATGGCATACACCACATGTGAATTAGTATGGCTAAAAAATCTTCTGCAAGAAGTTGGATTCTCAATGAGCAAACCTATGAGATTGTACTGTGACAACCAAGCTGCAATCCACATCTCATCTAATATGGTTTTCCATGAAAAGACAAAACATATAAAGGTTTATTGTCATTTTGTGAGGGAGAAAGTCCTTACTGGAGAGATAAGCACAAAACACGTGAGTTCAGGTGATCAATGGGCAGACTTGTTCACAAAAGGTTTGAGTTCAAGGAGAGTGAGCTACATATGTAACAAGCTAGGATTATATGATATATATTCTCCAGCTTGAGGGGGAGTGTTAGAGTTGGTCGAGTAAGGGTAGATTATACAACACTAAATCTAACTGAGAAGACTATACAAGGTCTCCCAAGTCCTAAAAAAGAAGAAAACGCCAAAATAACGTCAATTGCTCCTCTACCAAGATGGATTTAGTATTCCCCCAAGAAAAGGATCTAATTCTTAAAGGAGATCCTTATTTCTTTTTTGCCTTCTTTTTTGTTTGTTTGTTTCGCATTTCTCCTTGAACAAATACAGGAGTTCCATTAATGGGGTAGAGACATATGTCGATTAGTACAATTGTTGACAACTAATGAATATAATATATACTGATATATAATTATAACAAAATTTTAATAAAATTTCATTTTATTTGGAAAGTTAAATTTTCATTTTAATAAAATTTCTTCTTTGAAAAGACGTGTTGGCCCAACTCCAAACCATCAATAAAATGAGATGTTGAGGCAAGATCAGCAACATGAGAAACAAATTACATGCAATTTTATGGTTATACAAAGATATGAAGAATTTACCAGAAATCATGGTGCTTGTTTTCTGATTTTGGACAGAGTACAGAAATCTTGATATGGCTTAAAACCTTCCTGCCATTTTGCAAACTGCCTCTTCAACAACTTATAACCTTTCAGCTCCTTAGGCCCAAAGCTCAATGAAGAAGAATCAAATTGCAAATTTACAGGGCACAATTCATCAAAAAATTCTAATCCAACCAATTCCTTATTAGAATTTGGAACAAGTTTCGGTTGCATTTTGGAATCCTTATGTGGATTAGGTGCAAATTCTCTCTCAGGCCTTTTACAAACAAAGGTTTCAAACCTCTTGTCCTCAAAAATAGTCTCATCTTGTGTGGAATTAATGGTAGGTCTCTTATCTGAAAAGGCCTGAGGCTTGTATGTAAAGAAAGGCTTTGGCTCTTGCTGCTCTTCTGAACTACTCCACCTCTCATCTCTATGATCAGCAAGGGAGACAACATAGGAATCACTAAACTCAGAGCTGGATCTCGGCAATGTCATCTCATTAACCACTTTGATGACCTCATTGCATTGGTGAGTCAATTCCGCCTCAGCTGAAAATGAATCTCCTTCATCCATAGCTGAACTTCTCTGGCTCTTATTAATCTCACAAAGTGAAAGAAGCACAGGAAGAGGAAGTACAGGACCTACAAGAGCATCATCAGACTGCAATTTGAATGACCACTTATTGCTTTGGCTTGAGGGCTTCCTCAAGAAAAATGGTGGCCACTGGGGCAAACTAGGAACATCCAAGAACTCCAGTGAGACCTTCTTCTGGTCTAAAAGAACTTCAAGGAGTTCTGGGTAGTTAGAAAAAGCCAACTGTAAAACATTCATTGGCAGCCCTGCCCACATTCTCCTCGAAGCAATCTCATATGCACTTGCAGGTAATCTGATATCATTAAGAACATCAGTAAGAACAGGAGAAGACCCCATTTGGATGATGCCAGAAGCCTTCAATTTGTCACGAATAAGTTCACACCAGTCTTGAGTATATGGAGATGTTTCAGTCAAATCCATCTGAGTATTTTGCATATTTGATTCCATGAGCTTGGTTAGATATCCATTCAAATACCCAAGGAGATAATCAAATTTCAGATGTTTGAATCTCCTAGGAAATTTATATTTCTGATCACCCAATGTATATAGAAGAGGATCTTCAACCAGCAACGAAGTGGTCTCATTGACTTCTCCCCCCTGCTTGTTATTAGCTAAATCCCATGAAGCATGGTATGTCTGTGATTCAAGCTTCCCTGAAGACATTAGCCTAATCAGCGTGAAGCCATCAAGAGTGCCTGTTTCAGATGCTAAGGATGAGAGATCTTTACTAAGAATACAAAAGCCCAGAACTATTGCTTTCTTCTGCCGCCAATCAACCCACACAGGAAGAGTAGCCTTAGAAAAATTCTCTCTTAAAAGACAATCTCCATGGTAGCACTTCCGACCTGACAAGGAGAGCTCAGAAGGGAGTTCCCATGCATACAGGGTATTGGTGAACTTTGAAATTTTAGAAGCTACTGTCTCATCTGGAGTTGGTAAAGAAGGTCCATAGCAGAATAAACTGAATTCGCAGTCCCAAAAAGAACCCACCAAAATGACTGAACCAGATTCCGAAGCCCACTTATACTTATCCTCTTTGGGTGCTGACCTTAACTCTGACAACCTAAACACATTAATGTAACGTGGGCTATCAAGGCCATGAGCCCACTGTAAAACAGGCATCAATGGCTTCCGAATGTCAAAAAGAAGCAACCAATATTCAGTAGTAACTGCAAAATAGAAGCCATCAGAACCAGCTCTACAAAATGCAAGAAACCTGTCCACTCCCATTGATGGCTGAAACATCTCAATCTTTGCTAAAATACTCACATTGCTTTCCTCAAACCTCAAGTCCACTAAGAAAACAGCACTAGTGTTAGTGACTATCAAAATTCGGGGATGCCAACCAAATTCACAGCATAACCATTCACCTTTCTCCAAACTATCCAAATCTATATCTAAATCCTTCCATGAAACTCCAACTCTACTTCCTCTCATTTTAACGGGAAAAGCACTGGCATTAGAGAAAGAACCCAAAGAAAACAAGAATAATTCACCACTTTCTAACAAAACCACACACTCTTCCGACAGATGTGAGCTCCAACAAGCATGTGCAACATATCTGCTAAACTTCTTCATACCCAAATGAATCAAATCGGGTCTTCCCAAGTTTGATCCCACGTTGTTAATATCAACGCGGAACCAATGAACGGAATACAAAGTACAAGCTACCAAAAACCCAATACTTACAGAATTACCTGTTAATGAAGAAGAATTGGAACACCGAGCATTAATAGATGTTACAAACATTTTAAGAATCCGATGAATTAATCCGTCCGTAGACATAAAGATATTACCACTTTTATCTGTTCGAACTTCCCAACTTGATTCCGTTACAGACAACACAACAGAACCAACCCGGTCCGAATTTTCTCCAGTCGGGAATAAAAACAGAAATTCTCCGTTCTGGCAACGAAGCATTTGAAGATTGTTACCGGCTATAGGAGGAACGTCATCGGACTGACGGCCAAAATCGGCAGCAATGGAAGTACGTACACTATCTGGAATTTTAGTGTCTTTGGAAGACAGGGAAGCTGCACGCAGGGATGTTTGAAGAGGAATGGCAGGAGGGATTGAAGGGCATAAAGAGGGGGAAGAGAAGAGAAGGTTTAGGGTTTTAGGAGACGGGGTGAAGAAAAGCGGGCCCAACGGTTCTGCAGAGGGGCCGGAGAGGAGGAGAGGTGGAGAGAAGACAGATGAAATTGACCAGAGCGATTTCCACTCTTCTGAGAAGTTCATATTCTTTCTGATTCGTCTTTCCCACCTGGAGGGAAGTCTAGAGCAAAGAAGTAGCTTTCTCCTTTAGCACTTAGCCCTATTTTTGACTTTGAATCTTTCTGATCAGAAGCTCGATGCTCTTTTAGGTGATTTAGGTGATAGAAATAACGAAAGAGGGAACCGGGAAACAAATTGAAAGCAAAAGCTAAGAAGGCTGTTCATGTCGACTATGAAGTTCCCGTTCGAGCACCACTTGCAACCTTTCATTGAGAATATCTCTCATGAAATAGATCACGTAAGTACACGGAGATATTTTCAACGTAAGGCTGTAAAGGCTGTTGAAACGGACTGGGATCAGACCGTGATCGAATCCGAATATATTTTCACAGAGCGCACCTCACAGCCCCATCAGACCGTGTATTGTGAGATACTGGGATCATCTCATGTACTTTGTGTATTTATGGGGAGAATTTCGCAATACAAGATGGGATGGGGGCCGTGGGGCTGTCATGTGACGTCTGTGTGAGGTGTATTATGTGAGGAGCATATCCAGATATTCCAATTTCCGAATTCAAACAAAAATTGGATTTGCTTCTCAAAAAGTGCTCTTTCACACCGATCTCACGGTAAATCGTCGCATCTTTGAATCGGAAACGTCTCCTCGTAAGAATAGGAGATGAAAGCACGACGATTTTGCTGTATTTTAGGAAATAAGCCTAAAATTGATGAGATCGGCTTCAGATAGTGGAAGGTCTGTTCGAACAGTCTTGCATCAGGAAAATCTTCTTACTTCTATACTTTATTTTTCGGGAGATATTTTTAATACAAGGTTGCAATGGCAGTTGGGATGGGTTCTGCATTGACAAAGGGGTGTTATATAGTGTGGATGAGAAATTAATGGGTGTAGACTGGTTCACACTATACTCTGTGACAAAGACCAATTCACACATCATAGTCCACAGTTGTTTTGAACTTGGACAAACTGTGTGAACTGAACTGTACCAGTCCACGCCCATAGTGATGTTCTCTAAGCATGGGGTGGACCAATCTACATCACACTTTTTATTCCATGTATCTCATATACATTTATGAATGATCTACACCAATGTTTTAAAAAACGACCTAAAAAAAGAACTGCTCTGGCCACCGGTTTATGGGTCGACGATCTAACCGTCTGGTTCGAACAGACAGTCTGTTATGACAAACAAATTAAAAAATAAAAAAATAATAATTAAAAATAAAAAGCGGTCAAAACCGTTGAACAGGTCAACGGGTTGACAGTTCGACCGCTTGGGTAAACACATTGTTGACTTTTTCAATGGTTTTTGGCCAAATATCGGGTTTGGGGAAAAACAAAACCACTTGCCTAGATGGTTCCCGAGCCAAACGGTCTGACCGTCTGGGTCAACGGCGGTTCAAAGACCTTGATCTATACAGTTATTCATAAATATCTAATTTTTACATTTTATATGATAAATATATTAAAAAATGCATCAATGAATTAATATTAACCAATAAATATTAGTTTTTTATAAAAACAATAGTAAAATAATATAATTAAATTTAAAAAATATTTTTTTTAAAATATTTAAAAATATTATTTTGTTGATAAAAACATTAAAAAAATAAAATATTAAGTAAAATAATTAATATTTTATTGATAAAAAAATTAAAATGTGAAACAAACAATAGGGTTTTAGCCTTTCATGGAGAACGTGAAGCAGGGGATCAAAAATAGAGCGTGGACGGGCCCTAACCATGAGTTCTTGCCATAGATGAGAAATTGGGGTGTGGACGAGTGTTCATCCCATGAAATGGTCCCGTCCACGAGATGAATACGGTGCCGAACGCCACCTGAATTTGGTTTCAAAATTGATTCTTAAAATCAATCCGTTTTCATGGATCACTTCTTTGATTATTTCTAACTAATTTCAATTTTTTAGAATGATATGGTATCCAACATATTATTAAATAATAACTCTAATACAAAAATAATAAAACCCTTGAAAATCATTACTAAATAGACTTATAACCGATTTCTCAAAAATCGACTTACATGGCAAAAATGATATCAAATAACAAAATTTATCGAAATAATCAGCATCGGTGCCAAACATCACCTAAATCCTCCAAAATTGGAATTGGAATCACTTATTCCTATGCCTATTTGATTCAGTCAGGAATTAGATCATATTCCAATTGTTGTTATTTGGTTCAATGGGAGTTGGAACCATAATCAATTGAATTTTTTTTAATTGTGTATTAGCCTATTTATTATTTTATTATTACTTTATTAGTATTTTATTAATATATTATTATTTTATTATTACAATAATAATATTTGTATTCCTAATTTATTATTTTCTTATTAATTTATATTGTTTTCATTTGTTATTTTAACATTAATTAATTATTATTAAATAATGAATATGTTAGTATTTTATTATTACTTTAATTATATTGTGTTAATATTCTACTTTATTATTATTATTATTATTATTATTATTATTATTATTATTATTATTATTATTATTATTATTTAATATTTAATATCTTAGTGTTTATCATTAATGTATGAATTTTTTACTAACATGTGATTATATTATTATTACTTTAGTAATATTTTTATTACTATATTTTATTAATGATTTATTACTTTATTATTATTTTCTCATTATCTTATTAATATTCTATCATTTTTATTATTTCTAAATTAATTTATTATTGTTTAATAGACAATATGTTAGTATTTTATTATACCTTTAGTTATAATATATTAATATTTTATTTGCACTTTATTATTTTTATTTAATAAATAATATCTTTGATTTTTATTATCAATCTATTAACGTTTTATTATAATGTTATCATTCTATGAATATTTTACTAACATTTTGTTATTATATTTATGGGTTTTTATTATTCAGACCATCCCAACAAATCTTAGCTCCACTATACAGTTGGGGTAGGTGCCAGCTTACACAGGCGGGTATTGGTGTTGTAGGTGGGGGTATTTGAAATTTTAAATTGTTGTAGGTTTACAATGGAATTTAGAATTCTGAGGTGGAGTGCAATATAGTTTTTATTTGTATTTAAAAATGAATATCCTTGTAAGTTATTATTAATTTATTAATATTTTATTATTTTATTATTAATGTATTATTTTTATTATTAATATTAGAATTTGGGGGTTTTTTGTCATAAATTCTTTACTTCTTGACATAATCTGGAACGGGATTATGGGAATCTCATTCCCCCAAACATGGGAATCAAAATCCCATTCCATTGAAACAAGTTAGTTGACATTCAAAATCCCCAAACATGGGAATCTCTAAATGGGAGAGGTTCATGCGGACATTCAATTATCAAGCTGATATCCCTTGAAACAAGTTAGTTGACCATCTTGACCTAGGAGTTTTTTTATCCATTGCCTAACTTATTGTTTGATCATGATGGGGCGATTAATCTCGAAAAGCCCATGCATAGTGCCAATAAATGATAATCTATGGAAGGGCCCAATATATTGCCCAATGACGATGTTCAAGGAACCAAGCTTTTACATGCAAAGTGGGTATGATCAATTCATACTTCCCCATTCATTTTAGCTTTAGGCTAGGTTTGTTTGGGGTGGAAAATCAAACCGGGGTAAACTTTACACCCTAGTTCGATTTTACTGGCGTTTGATAAACATGTAATTACATCGATAATCAATGTAATAAATACATCAAAATTATCGATGTATTTATTACATCTCTCTCTCTTCTTCTTCTTCTCCTTTTCTCTCACTCTCTCTCTCTCTCTTCTCCTTCTCTCTTCTTCTTAGGTGAATTTCAAGCTTTCCGTTTCAGTTGATGTATCTAACCAAAAGGTTACTTCATCGCCGTCGTCCACTAAGTCGATGCATTCTAAACCAGTTCCGGTTAACTCGTTGAGACCCTTCAATCATCACAATAACCAGCATCGCTATCATTCTTCTCCAATGGGGTTTCGTCATAATCAGAGGGGGAATGGATTAAATAAGAGGGGAGGGAACATAGAGGAAGATGGGTTGTAATCAGAAGATTTGGAACTATTCAAATACGTGTCACTAGCTTCGGGGCTTTGATGATTGGAATTCCATTCAAGGGTTCAATCTCTGGCCGAGAAACCCACATCAACTGTTTCATTGATTTGTTAATGGTCCTGCAGGGTTTCTTCCGCCACCGCCACCGCCACCTCTTTGGCATTCTTTCCCTCCTCCGACTACAATTGTCAATCCTCCTTATGTCAATGTTCTTCCTCCATCGACCCCCTTGGACCCCCTCCATTTTCAGGCTGCATGCCTCCATATGGGTATTATAATAATGCTTACTTTCCACTTATAGATGAATACTATGGTCCACTGGTGCCACCACCAGCAACTTTTTCTCTTTTCGTCACCGCCACAACAACTGGTTGCAGTAGCAAATCTGAACCCCTGTGACCTGTTGGGTTGTTGTAGAAGTTGTGAGCTTTGTCGTTCATGGTGGATATCTTGTTTTAGGGCTTGTTTCGTGGTTTTTACTTTCAGGGGTTTGGTTTGGTGGCAAGGTGAGACATAGTGGAGAGGTCAAGAGAATGCGTCCGGTATGAAATGGAAGATTTGTCTCTCTTCCGGTATGCAATGGTAGATCTCCGGAGAGGTCAATGGAGAGGTGAGACACAACAACAGATCTGTCTCTCTTTCTCTCTTCTCCTTCTCTTTTTTCTTCTTCTTCTTCCCCTCTTCCCTCTTCCTCTGTAGATCATCTCACCGAATTTACGCCTTGACAACCAAACGAGGTAGGTGTATATTTTCAAAAGGAACCGGTTTTAATTTCCACCGATCACTAAACCGATTCATTTTTTCCATGGTGTAAAATTTGAATTTACACCTCAAACAAATGCAGCCTTAATGGATTTTCATATGTGGGTCTACATATGAGAAATGTTAGTTGTATGATTCTATATACTTTCCTGTTAAGCAAATAAACGTATAAAAGAAGTGCTATTTATGGCCCAACATGATCGACCTACAATAGCAAGCCTAGTTATGCACTTATGCTGTACAACCCTTGAATAAGGTCCCTTTGGGCTTGGTTGATTTTACTCTGGGTGGCCTAATCCTCCTTATACCCTATACCAAGCTTGGTCTAGGCCTAGTCAATTGCTTATTTTCACCAAGCCATGAGGA